CCAGTTTTCCACCACTTCAACACGGCTAAGGCACCCACTGCAACCGGATGCGGCACCCAGCCTCGGCGATCTCCAGGATGAGGCGCCGTGCCTCCACCACCGTCGCCGTGCAACTCCTCTCCGCAACCAATGCAAGAATGGCTGCCTGCGAGTCTTTGACAAAACGAGCTTCCGCCACCGATCTTTAGCTCTTGATTGAGGCAAGTGCGGCCTACAGATTTACTGCTATCATCGCGCCGGGTGGGTTTTCCACCCGGTTACCTGCAACCCGGTCACCTGATGCCGGCATTGTCATACAAGAGGAAAGTCCTTTCTGTGTAAATTGTCTATTTGTGCGTGCATTCATGTGCCCACAGGCGTTCGAGTTTCGCAGGGGCGATACGCTCTTTTCATGCGCACAGAACGCAAATCTTAAAAACTAAATCCCAAAGCTGAAAAGAATGGCAAACGGCGGCAACCGCGCCAAGAGGGATGAATTTTAACGGTCTATATTTACAAATACTTATTTTTTTTAAATTTCAAATCAATCTAAATTTAAACGAATAGAGCAAACAGGCGAAAACACGTAAAAATAGCTTCCAAAATATCTACTTCAAGCATTTCATACAACTAACTAGTCCGTTCGACATCCAGGAATGGGCGCGAGATTTTAGTGCGACAAAGCGGGCCTGCCCGCATTTGACAGCAAGCTTGCTGTCCTCCTCAAGGAGAAAGTGTCATTTTTGCTGTGCACGCTGCGAGAATGTGATATTCGATTGAGCGAGGGCTTCCTAATATTAGGATGTTAGATTAATCTGCGCCACGGTGCATTTTGCATTTTGGTTCCGGAGATGATTAATCCAGTCAGACAGCTGCTGGGCATTCGCCATGGATTTGTTTATCGCCAACTTCAAGCGCGGGTGTGTGTCGCATTGGCGAATGTACTTCAGCTACACCAGCACGACTTCCCAAGGCGCAGGCGAAGAAACGTCAAAATGATAGCGATGTGAATATGAACTTCTGTACAACGTGGTGTTATGACATTGCATTGTTTACCGTTCTCCTTCGTACACCATCAATACCTTACCGCAAGCGCATCACCACGTCCCGGGCTGCATTTCCATCACCATCATTGTCAAAAATGTTGGCGATGACCGCAAGTTGATGCATGGAGTAAGTTTCAGCTTGATGCATAGCTGATGCCCCTTAAGTTGATGCGTGGAGAACGTTCCCCATGCACCAGCAGTACAAAAGCCCTTGGCTCCCAGCAGCTCTGCGCTCAGCCAAGTCGATATATCACAAGTTCCAGCTTTTGACTAAAGTTCTTGCCAACGAGCTCGCCGTGCACAGGGTGAACACTTGGCGAACACAGGATGCACCAGTTCCTTGTTTCGCTTGCAAGTGAACTTCCGTTGGATGTTCATGCATCGAGTGCACCTGTAACCTCAACGCATTAATGTGTTAATGTGTTGGGTGACGTAACCTCAAGTGAATATTCACTTTAGGTTACGTCACCCGAATGCAAACCTTGCGCTCGTTGGAATGCGTCAAGAATGCAATGTTGCTCATGCATGTCAGCAGCATGTGACTACAACTTTTCCAGGTGCTAAACCCACAGTGTTGCGTGCCTGAAAGTCCGTAGCCAGCCCCACGTTACGTTCTTATGTTGACACTCTTACGTTTACATTTTTGCGTTTACTTTTCTATGTTTACGTTTTTGCGTTTGCGTTTTTACGTTTTACGCTTGAATTTTTATGCGTAAAAAGGTAAGTTTGCCAAAGAGGATGTTTTGCGCCTGTACTCGCATTTTCGCGGCTCGTTGTGAAGTCGCGCACAATGATCAGTCCTTCGCCCACTCGAGCACCTGCAACGCAGCGTCCACCTCGCCCTTGATTGCCGAGGGCAACGACGGTGTGCAACAGAAGTTCAACTTCCATCGATTCTAGCGCGTCTGGCTGCCACTCCTGGAGCCCATCAATCTGTATTTGCTGTTTTTATGTACACGGGGCTGCATTTACGTTATATTTACGCATTTTTATGCGCATAAATGGCATGCCTTCTTATCCGTTAAAACATAAAAAAATATATGCGCAAAACGTAAATACGATCATTTCTATGGCGTAAACGGCAAGCCTGACTGTTGAAGAAAGTGGCGGTGTGACCTTGGGTCACCAAATTCCCCAACCATGCATTTATGCCAAGGAAATCGTTGATCATTGACCCAATAAGAAACAACAAAATTTTCCTTTGACTGTGTTTACGTCGTTAGGGAAGACACTATTTTGAATTTTGTACGCTTAGAGAGAATGTAATGTTAATACCCCACCCACCCACCCCCCCCCCTCCTTGAACGTCAATCTTACTTCGATTCCAGGATGACTCATCAACATTACTTAACAATCCCATACAATTTCAAAGTAGTTTAAAGTAGGAAGCGGCCGAATTGTGGCGATTGCAGTGATTTGCAAATGCAATGGTAAAAGCCATAATAGGCGATGGGAACAGCCCTAAAGCCTAAAAATTAATCCATTTTAGGGACTTCCTCGAAGATGGAAAGTTGTGAGGGGGATTTGCAACAAGTCATGAGCTATCTGCCATTGATCAGTGGCGATTTTTGTGCATCTTCCCACCCTATTTTGAATTTAGTGCAATTACATGATCTCTTAGCTTCAATGGCTGGACCTCCCCCCCCTTAACGTCAATTTGACTCCAAGTGTACCAGATTCAAGATAGTGTCTTCCCTGAGCGCCTGCAACATAAAAAATAAATAAAAATTATACAATGGCTTGAGAACAATGCGCACCTCTGAGGATCGCTTTCGGGCTAAATGACTGGAAGGAAAGGACTTCGATGGGTGCGAGCTGGGAACACGGCGGATGTGGAACGCGGTGAACTATGGTGTTGAGGATGGCAGGCAGGGTCGAGGGGTGGCGACCCCTGACTGGGGACCGTGGGCTCGAGCCCACGGCAACGGCTTACAGCCGAGCAAAGCGACAACAGGAATTCTGTCCATCATATCCAGTCCGTTCATCAGTGCCCCCAATGCAATTGCCAACACCTCACCATCCATTTTCATGCGTCAAGCTGTTAATAGTACTCGATTAGTACTGGTTACAGCAGTACTGCTGTAGCTGCAGCAGTACTGCACTAATGCGGCGTTTGGATGCCTCCCCCCGCCGTTCCCAGCAGGAGGTGTATTTAGCCAGTACCAAAAACGGCTGCTTCCAGTACCAAATTTCAGCCAGTACCAAAAGTGAATGCTCCCAGTACCAAATCCGCCCCAGTACCAAAAACGGCTGCTTCCAGCACCAAAAACGGCTGCCGCCAGTACCAAATCGCCCCAGTACCAAAAACGGCTGCTCCCAGTACCAAATATAGCTGCGCCCAGTACCAAACTGACGACAGCTATGTCGAGGACGGGGCTGTGGAGCAACAGGCGGCAGGGCACCCAGGCCTATTCCCAGCGACGCCCCAACGGAGAACAACGGAGCCGCGCCCCCCGTGCCCCCCCCTGCGAAAACGGCCAAGTCGTGGGAGGAAGATATATTTCCCCAGTACCAAAAACGGCTGCTTCCAGTACCAAATTTCAGCCAGTACCAAAAGTGAATGCTCCCAGTACCAAATCCGCCCCAGTACCAAAAACGGCTGCTTCCAGCACCAAAAACGGCTGCCGCCAGTACCAAATCGCCCCAGTACCAAAAACGGCTGCTCCCAGTACCAAATATAGCTGCGCCCAGTACCAAATCATCCGTAACCTTGACTCGCCCAAGGCGACTCGCCTGCCTCACTAGTGCGACCATGGGCGACGCAAAGCAACGAAGACAGGGGCTGTGCGCCCCTCCACCGTCGCGCGAGGCCATATGGAGCGTCCGGCAGCGGCGGCTGCATTCAGCGCCCACGCGGATGGGGATCGAGAGCATCGGCGAGGATTCCTAGTGCTCGCGTGGCGACGGGAGCGGGGGGATCTGCAGATCGTGGTTCCAAATCCGGCAGGGCGCAGATGCCTGCACATAGCCCGAGCCTGCGTGGGCTAGAAGGGGATTCCGCGATGTTGCAGACGGAGGCGCCGGCGTGCCTCCGTTTCGGCGAGCTTGTTGGTTCGCAACGGGCGGGTGGTGTGTCTACAGAAGGGCTGGGGCAGCGGGCCTCCCCAGGAGGCCGGGGGAGGTGCAAGATCTGCAGCGGATCTCGCTGTATGCGCGGCGAAGCGTGCTTCCCGCTTGGGCGCTTTATAGATGACGAATGTTGCCAGCCGCGATAACCCGATTGGCACCCACGGGTGGCACCAATCGGTGGCAAGGAGGGGCGAGAATGGTGGGAGTGAGTAGCCACGTTCGGCCTCCCACTCCTGCCGTTTTGTGGCGTTTGTTTGTGGCCATTCGTTGGGCACCGCGGGGGCCACAGTCCGCCCTTGGCGTTTGCCCCCTGTGGGCGCGGACTGGTGCCACTCGCGGGTCCAATCGGGGCACCCGCGGGTGGCACCAATCGGTGGCCAGGAGGGGCGAGAATGGTGGGAGTGGGAGACAACTTTCGACCTCCCACTCCTGCCGTTTTGTGGCGTGCTTTGTGGCCACGCTTTGGGCCCCGCGGAGGCTACAGTCCACCCTTGGGGTTCGGCCCCTGTGGGCGCCGAATGGTGCCACTCGCGGGTGCCAATCTGGGCACCTGCGGGTGGCACCAATTGGTGGCTACGAGGGACAAGAATGGCGGGAGTGGAGGCAACTTTCGACCTCCCACTCCTGCCGTTTTTGGTGCTGGAAGCAGCCGTTTTTGGTACTGGGGCGGATTTGGTACTGGGAGCATTCACTTTTGGTACTGGCTGAAATTTGGTACTGGAAGCAGCCGTTTTTGGTACTGGGGAAATATATCTTCGTTCCCAGCACTTCCCACGAACCAACTGCATCATCTCCCCGAGCACAAACTGACCCGCTGCGACTGTGGACACCCCAGTTTTCGGCGGGCATTGGTGGCCTTTGGGAGTTCCCGCGCTTCGCGCTGTGCTCTGCGCGCGAAGCCCTCTGATGCACCACACCGTGCCACGTTGTGCATCGACGCCCGGCGCGGAACCTGCCACCAGATTCGGCGCTGAGCGCAAGCGGGCATGCGGCCCATGGGTCCGACCGCCTCGGCCCTCGCGGGGCGGCCCGAGGGGCAAGGCCGCGACGGCGCGATGCGCCATCGAAGAGACGGAGACCAGCATCGGTGAGGGGAATTGAACGCTGCCGGGGCGGCGTCCCTGCCGCGTTGTTTGGCGAGCGGCCGTGATCGGCGCTCACGGCGGTTTTGATGGCAGCTCTGGCGTTTTTCGCCGGCATTGAACTTGTGTGATCGCAAGAGTGTGTTCATTTCGATGCCTGGAGGAGCGTAATGGCCAATCGCCAGGGCGGATCAGTCGTCTTGGCAATCGCAATGTTTCCACATAATGGGCATTTGAGGGTCGGTTGCAGCCAGGCGTTGGGGATGAGACAATTCCTGTTGCTTATACGGCCGTTTGCTTGTAAAAATTTCAAGCTGTGGTTGATGTTGACCTGAATTGCCGTGGATCGGCTGCAGATGCAGAGAACACGCAGCCAGAATCAGCCTTGCAAGATGAGCGCTTTGCTGGGCTGCGCAGCGTGCTGGAAACAGGTTGGGCGGGGGAAGCTGAAAAGAACGCACGTTTTTGCTCACTGTCTTTGTTTGACGTATGAATGTGTGAATGGTTGATAATCCTTGTGTCAGTGGTGCATTTCATTCATATTCAAACACTGGCCTAAAGGAAAGCAGAGAGAAAGTTTTTTGTTGCCCGCATCAGGGGTGAGTTTCATTGCTTGGCAAACTACCATTATCCTTCCCCGATATTCTGGAGAGTGGGGCTGGAAAACATCCATCATGTAGCATTCGGCGGTGACAAGCAGGAAAAGAATGGCTAGGAACCTTGATCATTGCATGTGGGCTGAGCAGAACAGCAACCTTGCAGTCTGAAAGCACTCTTGTGCGGATTAGCACTGTTCACATTGTCTAAAGGTACAAATTGCTGCTTGCACTATGACTGATGCAAAACAACATTGGATGGCTGCCCAGCATTGTGCTCAAGAAATCGTTGCTGCCCCTTTCACCAGTGCACAACTGCCCACAATCATTACAAAAAGCAGTAGGCCTTGTGCTGTGTCATGTTAACATTGCATTGGTATTTAAGCCAAGTACTGTAGTAGACATGCCTGTTTTTTGAGTGGATGTTGTGGATCGCAGCAGTCTTGCACACTTGATACACATACAGTGGCATCGCATGAGAATGGTCTGTGGAAGTATTGTTGGGAAAACTTTTGAGAGAAAGTGCTTTTCGCATTGTGAGACTGGTGTTAGTAAATGATGTGTTGTACCAGCTCTGGGGCTGCAGCTGTCAGCTGGTGTGCAATGATGGAATACTCCGCTTGTGGATATTGTATAAGATAGACGCTGTTTGCAAGACGGCCACAGAGAGCAGTGCGTATCCCCTAGCAGGCTGGATGCAACTTGGACACTCATCACTGGGCTCATGTTTGCCTCAACAGTGGTCAGGTGCAGGTCCACAGTTTGTTTTTTTTCCCTCAGATCGTTGAGACTGTGGACTCTGCATCGGCCATGCACCTAATTCTGCTCACCAGGGAAGTGCTCTGCTAGCCAAGCTTCTTGCATGGTGCTCCCTCTCTGCACTAAACTTGGCTGTGTGGGCCTATCTCCAGCAAGTGAACTCAAGCAAGAGGCCGACCTGGATCGTGAGGTGCGGACACAACGGCCAGCTGCCCGCCGATGGGACACTGCAAAACTTGGCTTGTCAGGTCTAGACATCAACGAGGAGGAAGAAGAGCGCACCGCCTTTCACAGGTGACACCTCGCCCACTTGCATAACAGTCCAAGCTGGCATTCCAACAGCAATTCCTTGAATTGCATAGGTGGCCAAAAGTGCCAAACCACTGTCCTTGGACGTTCAAGGTGTTGATGGGGCCAGCTTGTTCTTGTGTTGGTACTAGGGTTGCACCATTCCAATTTGCGTGGAGATGAACAAACGTTCTGGATTAAACACCTTCAATGGAATTGGGTCTTCATCGCATCGATGGTGTGGGGCCAATGCTTTGCCACTGTTTGATCGATTTGCCCAAGGGATTGGCAACCAAGGTGCACCAAGTGGAACTTGCTGGCTCATTCTGGGCTGGCCACCTGCAGCTAGTCTCTGCCCCATGCCAGACCCTGCTCAAAATCTTGGTGTATCTGTGGCTTGGGTGAAAGCAAATAGCTCACAGAGCCTTAACACCTATTGTCTGTGCCCAGGCGCTTGTTTCGAGCTGCTAAGAAGGGTGATGCAAAGGCAGCAGAGAATGTGGTTGATGAGATGATGCGAGCTGGACTGGTGCCAGGGCCGAAGGCATACCATGGGCTGATTTTTGCTTATGTTAAGGCTGGGGATGCGATGGGGGCGTTGTACGCAATCAGGGGAGCACACACTTCGGGTGGGCACAGGCACAACACGTTTTCAGTACATGCCATGTGTCCTTCCGTCCCCGCATGAAGGGTCAATAGCCTGTCACAAGTATCGAAATTGCATATCTTTAGTATTTTCTTGAGATGTGTTCCCTTTGAACCATCTCTCTGGCAGGTGTTGCTTTGACTTTCTTTTGACATTTGGGCTGGCAAATTTCAGTGAACTTGCCTCTTATGTTCTGTTCCATTCTCTGCTGTTGTTTGCTGACTCCTTTCCTGCACCACTCAATGTGCTGCAGGTGCCCAACCAATAACGGAAAGCTACATGGTCCTCATCCATGCCTTTGTGAAAGAAGACAACATGAAAAAGGCTGAGGCAGTGTTAGCATCCATGCTGCGTGCGGGCGGTGATGCACAGCAGGGCTGGCGGATGTTGATAGCATCCCTGCTGCATGAAAATCGGCTAGAGCTGGCCCTCATCCATCTTGAAAAGGGGTGGAAGGAGAAATGGTCTGCAGATGCTGCTGTCTATGCACTGCTCATACAGTCGCTGTGCAAATCTGGAAACAGGGTAAGTTTTAGCGACTCTTGCAGAACACACAAATTGCAAAGTGGATTTGTCAAGTGCTACAGCTGAGCTGCAGGTACTTGAACGGCATTGTGTTGTTTTTGGTACACAATGGGGGTGCTGGACTTCCTTTGAGATTGTTCAAGCATTGTCGTATGATCCAAAATTTGCATAATTTGGGCTTTGCATCGTGTCAGTAACACAAGGTTCCCATCTCTGTCTTGAGGGAGGCGGTGTCTTGGCCCTTACTTGTGATGCAGTATTTCAGAGCGGAAAAAATCAGCTACAACGAACATCTTGGTTACAGCATAGTTACTGGGATTAGCCTGTATTAGTATGTAGCCCCAACTGCCATCCACCCTACCCTCCAGGGCTCCAAACCATGTTAGTGTCCATGCCCCAATGCAATTACCCACCCCTGCAGCATTGCTAGAGCTTGTTGCCTTCAAGTTGATGTGAGGAGGCCAGCTGCACTGTGGGTGTGGAGTGCCCGATTTTACGAGCATTTGCGACCCTTGCAAAGAGCAGCCGGTCTAGCAAAGTCCTGGCCCTGTAGCACCAACTTGATGCGTGTTTGTTGCTTGGACATCTAGAATTTTCATCCATTCTGTTTGGTGGGGAAGTATGCTGTTCTGTTGTTGAGCAGCCTCAGGGTAGGCAGAAACATTGCTGGTGTGTGGATCGAATGGGTACCTGGCAACACACAATAATGTGAAGGCATCTCCAAGATGGAGGGAGGAGTATGGAATGTGGCAATCAACCATGGAACCTCATGCAATTGTGCGAATTGAGGATGGGGTTTGAGAGGCGAAGAACCTCAGCTGTGCTTGGGGAAGATTGTACTGTCCTTTGCTGCCACACTTTCTGATGTTGTGAGTGTGGCACCCTTTGCAAAGCATTTTTGCTGTTTTCAGCCCAATTATGTGTCTAGTGGGCTTCGTGTTTCAAAGTTTCTTCATCCACTCATTGGATCAAGGTTCAAACCATCTCAGTATCGCCTGACACAGTGTTAGCATCCATCGCTTCATTTCGTTGATCTTCCCAATGCCAAAGTTTTGAGTGAGTAACTGGGCAGAATACATTCCTTCTGATCGTTATATGATCACCAGCATCTGATCATGCTGAACAATACGATCGCTATCATCCCAGCGTGCTTTCATCACTATTGCATTGACGTTGTTCATGTGTCTTGCGTGTGTGACGTAGAAAGTGTGTGCAGAAGGGTGCAACGAATGTCCTTTATGCAGCATGGATATTGGCATGGATATTGCGTTGATGCCCTCTTGTAGAGTCATAACAGTTCAGTTGAGAACTTGGCTCCTGTTGCGAGGCTGACAGCTTACAGAGATATCAATTGTGTTGTTGGTGTGCAGCAAAGAGCCAATGTAGAACTGGCACGAATGCAAGCGGAAGGAATTCATGTGGGAGCACAGCATGCACAACCACTGATGGAGCTGGCACTCAAGGAGGGAGATGTGGAAGAACTTGACCGTTTGCTTGATGCCGTTCAAGAGAAAACCGTGCACATATTCAATCTACTGTTGAGAGGATATGTGAACAAATGGGGTGAGCAGCTACCTGAAAATACTGATTGGCTGACTCTCAATGGCAGTTTTCAAGGCTGGTCTTCAACAGCATGTGCAACTGGGGAAAGGCCATGGCTGATGCAAAATATTGCTCGCTGCGAGGGTTTTGCGATGTGGTTTCCAAGGTCGGCTGAAATGTCGGAGGCTGCCCGCATCTTGAACTGCGGCAGGGAGCTGCTGTCTCCATAGCTCCCCAAATACTCTCCTGCATGACGGAAGTAGTTGCTTGACTGAATGCCATGTGCTGTTCTCTTCAACGACGGAGCTGATATCTTCTTTGAACACATTTTACTGTGGTCAAAATTAATACAATATATAAAATATAATATATGTAAACTATATATAAAATAAGATATGTATTATAAAATATGGGTACTGTGCTTCTACAGCGATGACAAGTTTTTTTATCCCTGCTGTGCATGTCTGCAGACTGCTCATGAATGTCTGAAACGGCACGTCCACGCTTTGACATCTGGGCAATGGCACCCTTGTGCACAGTCTCGATGTTATAAAGTTCTGTTCAGGGTGCAACAGAGTCATGTAGTACTGCTATTTTCTCTTTTTTTCTTCTCTCTGAGCTCTAAATGTTAATATTTGTCCAACTGACCTTGATCGCAGCTTGATGGGGTTTTGTTTGCAGATGCTGACAACATCATGCCACGGTTTTGGCAACGGTGGGAGCAGCTGTCAGAGGAGGCTGCACCAGATTCGACAAGCTGGCTGCTCCTGTTGCATGCCCTGCTGAAAGGCCAGGATCCACAGGCAGCTGCCAAAGCGATGGTCACAAACATGATGGCGACACAAATGCAGGGAGGTGACCAGGAGGAGTTGATGATGGATATTCTTCCATCAATGCTCAGTAAGTTGGCTGGACGAGCCATCTTGTTCCCTTGGCACAAATGCTGTTGCAACAACATGACTACTAATGCACTGAGCTCTGAGCTCTTTCTGAGCAAGTTATTCGTACATTCCCTGTTCTGATAGATTTTGTCAGCGAATGCAAGCAAAGAGAAAGCAGCAGGACAGACGTCATGGTGCTGATGCTCTGTTCATAGATTGCTTGCACATCATTTTTGTATGATCTACTATATGCGGACTGTCGCATCGCCTTGCACTGCCTTAAAACGCCATGAAGACCAGTACAGTCTTCTTCATTGATGGGTTGTCCCCAGAACTCTTCTGTGCACTGTGGAATCTGGATTCCCAACGCGCAGGTAGGGAACAGGGTTAAGGTGGGTACCACGGATGGTGCAACGCATGCAACACTTCGCAAACTGACAGCAGGCCTGTCACAAGTTGTGGTCGTCCTTCGCTTGATCACAGTTCTGATGCAACACTGGGTGCATTGGTCGGCGATTGCCACGGTCCTCTGCTGGGCACGATGGCATCAAGTTAGTTGACCTTGTGCCAGTTCCATTTGAAGTTTCCTGGTGTGTGTTGTGCAGAGCAGCTGAGCAGGGAAGGGTATCCTGTGGACATTGTTAACCTCCTTCGAGCCCTTCGCATCGACAACGTCCACCTCAGACCTGGTGCCTTCCAGGTTTCCAAAACTGGACAGACTTTCATCACATGGTGGCTGTCTGATCGCATGGACAAATTGAAACTGGGTGATGGTGGCCACGGTGATGGAACTGCATCGAGTCGCCCAGAATTTCAGGCTTTGGACATGAGCATGACCTCTTTTGGAGGCTCTCGGGTGATCAATGGTGTGAACATCGGATTCTGCAGCTGTGTTGTCAACGAGAAGAATGAAATCATTCCAGTCAGCAAATTGAATGTGGGGCAACTGAAGGCGGAGTGTCAAGCGAGGGGTCTGGAAACGACGGGCCTACGGAAAGCCCTTTACGATCGAGTGAAGGTTGGTTGTTGATCTTCAGCAGTCAACCAGGGACTGTGTGATGCCACAGGCAAACTGATGGCATCAAGATACATCATACTGCCCAAAATGCTAACAACTGTATCTGGCACAGCCCCAATGCATTTTTAGCCGTGTCTGATCATTGCAATGGCCACTGCAGAATTTGATTGTTAATGTTGTTTGAGAGTATATGCTTGCAGGGATTCGTCCATGGTCATCGCAATTCAGAAATTTGGGCATTGCCTGTTAGGGCATCTTTATCGGTGGGTGCTATTGTCCTGGCAGTGCTATTTGGCTATCCATATAGCACTGCACGTCAAAAAACTACCATGAATGGTTGGGGGGCAATAGCACCCCAATAGCACCGCCAATGCTGTCCAGTGCCGAGCGGTGCTATTCGGGGCCCGAATGGCACCGCTCGAGGCCAAATAGCACCCCAGAATAGCAGCCGGTGCTATTCGCACAGAACATTGTGGTGCTGCTGTGATGTTATTTGGCATAAGAATAGCTCCCATTGCGGATGCGCGCAGGGGAGCAATAGCACTGGTGCTGTTTGGCACGTGGTGCCTTGGTAAGGTGGCACGGCAAATGAGAACCGTTCCTGTATAGCAGTGCCGGTGCAATAGCACCAACCGATAAAGACGCTGTTATGTCTGTTGGCACTGACCTGAATCTTGGCCGTGCGGCTTGTCGATCTTGGGTGCTTTTCTGTTCCCAGGATGCCAACTGCTTCCAGTCCGGTGGCAGTACATGCATCTTGTTACCTGTTGTGGACCTGATGCTGGCAGCAAGCTTATGACTCGCACTGAGATACTTTGACTGTGCAGAAGCTGGAAGTGCAACATTTTGTAGATGCACAGACACTGATTGGGCGAGCATTAAATGTGTGCATCAGTTGGCAAGGAGAGCGCTGCCATTGATAAAGGAAGAAATGCGTCGACGGTCGAGAATACGAAAGATGCAGAAGCGGGCCGAGCGTGATCGCCAGGGGGGGCAGCGGCCATCTTATTTTGGGGATGCCGATGACAAAGGCGCTGAGCTGGTCATGATTAGCTTCAAGGATGGCAGAGCCACCAGCACGCAGGCCATAGATGAAGGGGACCTGAAGAAAGTGGGGGTTGTGGATGTGGATGAAGAGGGCGATGGAGCAGAGGCACAAGTGATTGAGGTACTTGCTGAGTCAGTGCTGGTGCGGGTGATGCCTTGGCAGGGCTTCGTGGAATCGCAACATCAGAATTTGCTGGATGTGGATGCTTTCTGCACCAGTGATGCGGCTTTGGAAACGGCAGCAACGAATGTGCAGGCTCTCATTGGCAAGATACAGAACCCTGCTCATGGCACATAGCTGCTAAGTGTAGATGCGGCATGCTGTTGTTTTTTACAGAATTTCCTTGAAACAAACTGGATGTTAGATCTTGGCACTGCATTTGTGCCAAACAGCGAATCACTATTTGTTGGTGATATTTGCTGCGGGCTGCTTTCCTTGGGGTGTGCGGGTCACTGTCAGTTTGAATGTGAAGGTAGAGTCAGATGGCGATCCTGAGCTTAATACGTCACAGTGGTGTCCTGCGCAATGGAAGCAATTGTATTGGTGGTTGTTTCAGAACGCAGAAGGGGGATCCACGGATATTGAATCCTGGGCCGTCTGGCATAATCTCCGCGCTGTGAATGCTTGCAAAAGCTACCAGGCTCGCTAGCCCATGTCACCGGAAGGTGGCATGAGACGGAGACGTTTTGTCCGGACTGTTGTACCAGAATCGGTTTGGCAACTGCTCATCAGCGATGCTGTTGAAGAATTTATCATAGTAATGATGCTAGGTTTGCTGGCTTGCTTCAGCAAGGCAGTCCATTGCAGCGATGGCAGGAGTTTCCGAGGAAACTATCTGCAACTGTTCAGGTGGAAGACGAGCTGCAGCAGAAGCTCAAGAAGTACAAAGGGAAAGGGGATGGCAGCGAGGTGGTTCTGGAGGAGGACGTCCCGAGCTCCGTGTTCGACTTGGATGACGACAAGTTGGACAAGGCGCCCAGCGTTGCAAATCCCTTCACAGCTCCCAGCTCCAGCGATGCGTGGCTTGACCCCGTCTTGAAAGCACAGCTGGTGCTGGGGAACAACAACACTGCAGGTGAGTGCTGCATTTAGCGCCAGCGACTGGAAAATGCGAAGTCTGCCTTTTGAAGGTGAAAATAGCAACACAACCCTCAGCTGTTGGCATTGGCGTTGTTCTGTCTGTGCGTTCACATATCTTCCTCAAAGCATGTGGAAATGCTGAGGAAGGAAAGCCAAGAACGAGAACGTTGCAAGAAGGCGACAGTGCTGACTGACCGGTAATGGTGCCCGCGAAAGGCATCGAAAGCGGAAGTTGGATCGGCAGAAACAGTTGATGGTGCCAGGTCTCGTGATTGCCGAGCAACAAACATCGTGTGCTGGCGTTGGTCAGTGGTTGCCTGCGCATGACTGGCGGCGGGGGGCGGTGGTGGGATCCTGACGCAGCACTGCTGAAGGGCATCTGCCTTCCTGCAGGGTCCCAAGCTGCCTTGGCGATGATCAGCGCCGCCCAGGCGGTGGGTGGCGCGCCGACCCTGGCGGACTTGGAGGTCGTCTCGCATGCGGCGAGCGTCGAGAACAGCGTGGGCGTCGCGTACTCGATCTCGAACCTGGTGAGCACCCAGAGGGAAGCCTATGGCGAAGGTGGAGGCAAGCAGGGCGAGCGCAAGCTGACGAGCCTGCTGGACGAGTGCGCGAGGACGTGCGTGGAGGCGGGAGACGTCAAGATGGCCGAGCACATCCTGGACAAGATGGAGGACCTGGGATTGGCGCCCAGCGAGTCCCTGTCTTCTCGCGTGCAGACCTCCACCGCGCCCGAGGAGCAGCCCGACGTCGTGGACGTCGCGGCCACGGCGCTGGCCGACGACAGCGTCGACGACGACGACTTGGGGGCGCTGGACGCGGAGATCGACGAGGACGAGGAGGACAAGGATGATATCGGCGACCCGGAAGACGAGGGGGAGAGTTTGCTGTCTTCGGTGCCGGTGGCCGATGAGTACGAGGACGAGGAGGATGTGGAGGACGACGGGGTGGGAGACGACAACGATGACGACGACGACGACGAGTTCTGAGCGTTGCCCCTTTGCTATCTGTAATTTTGTGCGAGGGGCTGGGAGAGACCTGGGACGCGCACGGGGGTCGATTGCGCTTTGGGGAGCGTCTGTGGGTCGCCGCTCCCCCGCGGGTCGTGTGTCGGCCGCTCGGCCGGCGTAGTGAGAGAGACGAAGTCAGGCGAGCGTGTCCTGTTGTCATATGTGTTGAGCGTGCTGGTGCAGTTGCGCGTATTTGCATGATATTGACCGAGGCAGTGCTCCAACCACCAACTTGGGCTTCATGGTCGAGGCGCGCAGTGCTTAGATTGAGCTCTTGTCCGTAGCTTCTGGCAATAGATAAGCGGAAGTGTTGTCACGCCTGCTTGCAGGCGTGCTTTGCTAGCAACAGCGTCCGGTCCACCGTCTCTCTTCACCCAACCAACCATTGAAGTACAGCATCAAAGAACATTCCTAGCCGTTCATCTGTCGATTTGAAAGCCCAGTCAGTGCTTCACAGTGTTGCCGAAGCTGTTGAAGCACTGCTCAGCAGAACCAGCCACGGGTGCCTGGGAAGCTGTCATCGCCAGTGACGAATGCAGAAGGAAACCTGTGTCTGGCTGGAAGCATATCTTAAACGGGATGGCGGGTCGGACTATGAGCATGAGGGGCGACCTCCGGAAAGTACACTCCACACCCAAATCATGGGAAGAAAGTCTGCAAAGACGTTGGTTGCCATGACGACAAAAATCGTTTGTGTCGGGCAGACTGGCCTGGTGAGCTTGTTACATCGTCGAATTCTCGAAAGTACTGCCACCCCGTGCCAGGCATCCCTTCTCCAACTTTCTCTCCATAACATTTTCAACTCAGCAAGTGCTGCCCATCGTCACGAAACGTTGCGTTGAGGAAGGCAGGCAGGGTCGAGGGGTGGCGAACCCCAAACGGGAATTGTATGCTCGAGTCCAAGGCAACGGTTTACAGCCGAGGCAAAAGGACAACAGGCGTTCTGTCCTTTATATGCAGTCCGTTCATCAACATCCTTAATGCAATCCCTAGTGCTTCATCATCTTTTAATGCATTCAGTTATTAACAACACTCAATCAGTTCTAGCCGTAACAGCGTGACGCGGTGTAACAGGGCAATGTTATCAATTCCATCATGGCAACGAGGGCAGCCGTCACACCTCTATTTGTGCCCATTCGGCTCCATTTCTTGCCCCGCACCCCGCACCAACGTCCCTGTGGCTTCCGCACGCGCGAGATCGCCGCTGGCCCGCCATGGAACTGGACAGCCTCAGGACGCGGCTGGCCCACCTGGGGGTGGACGTCCAGCCCACCTCCCGCAACTACCCCGCCACGGCTGACAGGAGCTCAAAGGTCCGCAAGCCAAATGTCTCCGGAACAATCGATTCCCTCTCGCGGGACAGCGCCAGTCCGAGCGCGTGGCGCAAGTCGTCAGATGGCCGCCGGCCACTGGCTGCTTCCGGGATCTGTGTGCCGAGTGGTTGCCTTGCATTGGAGGCCATGCATTGTCTGTCTGCGGCTGCCGAGGGCTCGGATTGTGCGCTCCCCGGGGACTATGGCTCTGCGCCGCGCAGCATGGGTGGTGACCGCTCTGCGGGTGGCTGATTGCCGGGCTGCGCCGCCGCTCCAGCGCTGTGATCGAGAAGGAATGATCCCCCGAAGCCGCGGTTATCCTTGTGGCGACTCGGCTTGGCTCATGGCATCTTTTGTCGTGAAGAACATTGGGTGTTCGGATGGCGATGTGTGTGGGTGCTGGCTGCGGGCCTGGCAGCCGCACTCACAATTGCGTGACTTGCTGGAAGCAAGGTAGCGCCCAAAGCGCCTGTTTGGGCCTGAGTGTTGTGTGCCATTTCTATCAAGGAAAGCACCAGTTGCATTCTTACTATGGGTGCATTCTGTGTCTCCTGTTCTCGAGTTCTATGGATGCTTTTGCATTCTTCAGGATTCCGTTTTTTGGCTTTGATCTGTTTTTTAATGAGCTTTTACATGGCTGGCGACCTGCTTGAGAAGCTTGGAGATTGTGCGGCGCTCAAACATTATGTTGGAAGCAATCATGCCACGTGCAGAGCAACTGGCCTTTGTTTGTTCACTTGGAAACTTCAGAGAAAGCAGCTCTGTTATCCAATACGGCATTTCCTAGTCACATCGAGACTTGTCAGCCAATAGGTTTTGTGTGCACTGCCTGTTCTGCGGTGGCTTAATTGATCAGCTTTATGAGAGACCTTGCACAATTTGGTTGCGGGAGTTGCTGTAGTCTGTGACATTCTCATGCTGCAGTGCTCCACATCACCCATCATGACGGCAGGGAACATGTCTGTTATGCGGTGCTGCCAGTGGCTGTCCCCTGGAGTGAATTTGTGGCAATCGTCACTAGCCTTGTGAGTTGATTAGCCGCACACTGAGACAGCTGGCATAAACATGGGCAGAGACTTTGGGGAAGGTTTTGTCCTCACCTCCACGTGTTGTGTGCAGACACCACTTTGGTAGGAACCACCATGTCAAGCTTTCTTGCTTGTCCCCGTAGGCCCGAGGAGGCGACTCACTGATTCAAGACCAGGACAGGTAATTGTGGGGATATTATCCGCCCCAGAGTTTCTGTGGAGGTTCCATGTTGGCTTTCCCATAAACTCAGCATAAACACTTGTGCTTTGAACCATAGGTGGGATGGATCCCTGAGTAATGGTTTCTTTTGCAGTGCTTGAGCCCATTGCTGTCCAGATTGTCCTGCATATAGGTTACATCCCCATTGACAGGCAAGACATAGTGTTATGCATTCGAGCTTTTCTCGAACGTGCATTTCGGCAAACCGCAATACAAGACATGAGCACAAAATGGAGCAACAGTCGTTGATCCTTGTCTCCTGCAAAAGGATACACAAGCATTGCTGATAACATTCCGGGTCTGATCTCCACTGCACTGGCACGGGCGTTGTGCGCATAACACAGTTGCTTGTTGTCCTTCAGAGTTTGTGAAGATGTGATGGACGTCCTGCAACGCTGCCACCAGGTCGACGTCGCCCACTCTGCACCAAACATACCCAGTGCCCATCCAGGGGACAGAAACAATAAGGGGGCGAAGGACTCCAGACGGGAGGAGGATAAGGAAAAGTAGGATCATCATGCAACAGCCCGTCAATTGCTGCGGCGAGCTGATTTTTGGCGCACCAGACTGTGACAGTTTCAGCTACTTGCCATGCTTTGCTGTGGCTTATTTGACGGAATGATATCCTGTGGCACACACCTGAAAGAATCCTGGAGATCCTGCCCTCCCCTGTGCTTTTTGCCCACGCTGACCTGGGTCCTTCAGTTCCCAATCCTGTGGATGCAATCCAGTAGAGAGAGGATGACGCAAAACGTTTGGCACGAGCTCTTTGGCCTCCATGGCAACCACTGCACACCTGTGATGCTCTGTTGCTTGTAGGACTGCCCTGTCCAAACCGCCAAAATATCGCATTCGTCGCTCAGTGCTGCACACTGGCCAGCGCATGAAAAGCAAAGCAGTGCATACCCCCTTGGGCTCCGTGCTTGCTCAGTACAGGGAGGCAGAGGAGCAGTGGACAAGAGAAAAGGTCAGAAAACTCTGCGCGCACAACAGATTGGAAGTGCTGCCAGCTGTCAGCTCTCCACCTGACATGATACCCATCATCACTGCCCTGGCAGGCAGCGTGTGAAGAGGTATAGTCTTCCTTTTCAGGAATTAAGTGCTAAGCATGGAGAGGCACAAGCCTCCCCAAGCCATCACTCACTGTGCCCGCACTGTCAGTAATATATCACATTCTAGTGCACATGATTTAAATATAGGCTGCGACTGAATATTGCTGTGGCAGCTCACGCTCCCCCGGAAAATTTTTCACTTCACATAAATCAGTTCCGTATTGGTCCGATGGCGGTCCTGCTTTGCATCAAAAGGAACTTCAGTAATTACTCAATTGAGTACAGGTTTAAGGGCACCCCCCGCACTGCCAAAATATGTGGCCACTTCTTTGAAATTGGGGATGCATGGACAATGTCGGAAATTCAGTTGTGGCGATTCTTGCTCGGCTGAGGCATTTCACATCTGACTCTGTTTCAGGCCGCGCTGCGTCGTGACGCGTTTGCCCATCGTCGAAGGGCAAACAAATTTGAGATCGAAGTGAAAAAGTTTCAGAGCATGCTGCAGCACAAGACCATGGATGTGAAGGCACTGAAGACCGCCCTTGCCAATCGCGATTCTCAGCTTGTTGAGCTGCACAAGAGGATTTCGGAGCTGGAGCAGGGCCAAACGAAGGTCTGTGCGCAGCGGACGATCTCCAACCTTGGCAGCGCAACACGTCGGCTGACAATGAATCGCCGACGGCACTCTGCAGGCCGGAATGGCGCCAGTATGGCACAAATTCAGCCTCCACAATGCCCTCCCTCTGCCAACCTGCATGGCTGCCCTCTTCGCATTGTTTCCAGAGCGACTTGTCGTTGGATGCTGTGCAACCCTATGAGCATCGTGGCTGGGCCTCGTTTGCTTACGACAGCAGTCCCCAAAGCGTTTGGAGGTCGCGGTTCCAACTTTTGTTTCTGCCATATCGGTCTCCTTAAAATCCCCCGGTGTTCCCCACACGACAATACATTACACGCACACAGTTTGGTGTCCATCACCTCACTACTACAAGACCCGATTGCGAAACAAGATAAGGGGGGCGCCAAGGGTCGCGCCTAAAATAGCCGCTCCCACTTGCCGCCAAACTCCCCGCCAAACCCAAGGGCCAGCTTCACCGGTCCCCTTGGCTGCGCCAAGGTACAAGCACAAGGTTCACCCCAACTGCCCTTGGATCCGCCGGGCAGAACTGACCCCGAGCACAGGGGTGACAGAAACCGGCCTATGGATGGCCCCAAACTGTCCACGAGGCGGAACGGCCCGAACTGGCCGAAACGCGCCCACCCAACGTCGTCCTTGGCAGAAACTCATTAACAGGATAGTTAATTACATTTCTGGGATTTGTTGCAGGTCCAGGAAGAAGCGGCTCATCAGGTGAGCGACTTGGCAACAGAGCGCGACGAGTTGAGGACGCTGCTGGCTGCCATGCTGAAGAGGCTGGAGTGCGTGGACGAGTTCGTCCACCGCACAGCAGCGTCTTCCTCTGTGATGGAAGACCGCGTCAGGGCCATCGAGCAGGAGAGATTGAGGTAGCGGCGTCGTGCCGCATTTGCGCATCTGTTTCCCTGTGACATTTTTCCAGGCGTCTCGCAAGGTCAGCCCAGGCACACGGCCCACAATGAAAAATGTTTGGGCGATCAGCCCCACTCACCTGCATCCAGTCCAATTCTAAGAGCGCGTGGGTGTTGGCAAATAATGATTAATATCAATGGTTAATAATGATTTGCAAGGAAGTGCAATCACTTAGAGTGGTGTGCGGGCCCGCAACGTTGCCGTTCAGTCCAGACAGATGTAAATGGCCTGCTTAGATGCCGGGCATCGTGTGGCAACTCGATCAGGCGCAGGAGCTCTGCCAGATTTGTCGCCACCGTTGGAGCAAGTGGAACTTATGTTGGGCGTTTTCTTCGCGCGACTCCGGCAACATGCGCTTTGCGATGCATGTCAGGGCTGTCGCCGAAGCATCCAAGGCCTCCGGGCTGGAACAAGAGCTGCTTGGGGCGAAAACGCAACTGCACCTCCAGAAGAAGATGCTGAAGAAGGTATCAGACATCCACCTGAAGAAGAACAGGGAGCAGAAGAAGGCAATCAGGTGAGCAGCAGCATAGAGCTTGGGACCCAAGTGCTGTGCTTGCCCAGGAGTGTGCGGCGTACGCCACAGTGGCTCCGACTCCTGCATTGGCTCATGGGGGTCCCTTGAGCAATGCCGCTTGCTCTGTGTTCAGCCCTTAGAAGCGTTTGCGCTTATCTTGAGGCGCGCCAAGACTCCAAGGCCGTCTCAAACAGTGCAGAAAAGTTTTCCAGAGTATTGTTTCTGGATATGATAATTTGATAATTTGTTATCTGATATATGATATTAATCATCTGATGTACGCTCCTCCGCTGAGATTGACCTCTTGAGATTGTATGCTCCCCTCTTCACTCTTCGGCAGGGACGCCCTTGAAGGTTCCCATCCCAATCCGCTCGACCTCGCGCCATGTCTGTCAGACGGCGACAACTGTGACCGATTGGAGGCCGATGACTACGAAGAGTCGCTGGCACGCGATCTAAGGGGCGACATCCCGCCTAGCATTCAAAGCATTCTTGGAAGATGACCGCACGCAGGGTAGGCTGGAACGCGAAGCAATGGGATGAGCACCCAGAAATCTGAGCTGGCCTTCCATGCGAAGCGCAACCCTTTGCGGCATCGAGTTGCCGACGACGCAGAAGTTCCGACTCCAGCACCGCCTCACTCCACGGTGCGCCAAGCTGGGCATCAGCGTGCGGCTCAGAGAGCAAGTCCAATGGGCGATGCTGGCCTTCAAACAGGAGATCATTCCGTCTCACTGCTTCCAGCAGCAAAGTGTTTATTAACGCTCGCTGTGCAGCACGGCAGCTGGCCGTAAGCTGATGGGTTCACGCTTCGTGATCGTGGTCTTTGTGCGCCATCTTAGGTGCGTGCTCGCCCTCCTCGCAATTGGCTGGTCGATCCATGCGGATCCTTGGCGCCTTGATCCACACGAAGTGGGTAGTTATGGCTTTTGCAGGGCGACTTCGGAACCGTATTGATGGGATTCTGCACAGTTGCAGCGGTCCGTGCAGACGGGCCAATTCTTGACACGCATAGCGATGAGACTGCCCAGTTTTGTTCGGGAAGCTGCTCGATATCCCACCCCGGACCCCTGCAAAGAATGGGCGGGCAAAGCGCAGCAAATCACAACAACAGCGCGGATCGATTACAGCAACTGTACAGTACACACCTCATCCACACATCGATCCTCCGCAGGTGCGTTGCGCACCAGGCGTAGTCCACGAGGACACTCCCCTCTGTCGTCCAGCCAACAAGAAAACACATTGGCTGCTCCAGCTCAATGCACGAGGGGACGAACACCCCACCTCAATCTTCCACGCTCAGTACAGGTCATTTGTTCACTATTCGCCCATGCCACATTTTCTTCTCAAGAGTCTCCCTGGGTGCGGAGGCGCACGCGGGCCCCTCATTTGCGTCCTATATGCCGTCACAGCCACGCTGCACTGTCACCCCTTGAACCCTGCAAGCTGCCAGTGCCCGGTTTGACGGCCCGTCGTACCATCGGACAGTCTTCCACGACCTCCCCACATCGCCAATCCAATTGCACAAATTGGTGTCTGCATGGCCTCATCAAGCAAGCACGGCCTCCAGCACTACCCAAGCCTCAACCATAGACTACAAGAATTTCATGAACACCACATATTGTCACACAGCCTAAACTAACAAAACAACACGGCACTCGTACAAATCCCTTAAAAACTGCTTCCCCAGAGGCGCTCTGGCCTTTCTCACCGCCTTGATGGGTTTCGGTTACCAGGCGCCACGACTTTCTCCCATTGATGTACATTTCCAACAGTCCACCTCACCTAATTGAGCCGCCAACTGAACCGCAACTACTTACAACCAAACACCCTGAGGAGCAGCTTCCGTCTCCTCCTCAGTCGCAGGCTGTGGACACAAACGGCAACCGTCAGAAGCAGGAGCCACAACACATGGTGGGGGACACAAGTTGCAATAGTGGAGCTGAACCTGGGACTTCCTAGTGCGCATGCCACCACAGCACCTTTGTCAATACAAGGGCGAGATATGCAGGGTGTGGACGCAGTGAACATAGTCAAGTATGCTACATTGCAAAGTCTGTGGGACAACACAACTGCTGACGATGTAATGAACACCACCGCAACAACTTGCGGACTTGCATGAAGAGAAGATTTCGATGTTGTTCTGCCAAATATTGCAAGGGTCTTGTAGCCACTAAAAACTGATCCTGTCTTATGATCTCGACTCAGCTGAAGCATGTGCCAGGCCAGTGTCTGTCGTTTTTCAAAATGCTGCAAGCCTTTCCAGATTTGTCGTGTGATATGTGAATTGTGTTTATCCTTCCCACTAACGTCCATGGTGCCACCGATGAACTCTTCCTCGATTGCTAGTCGACATACGACAACAAGTATGTGACCCCAGCAGCAAGGAGTCTTTTAGCAAATCACAAGCTGCATTGTCCACATGCCGCCCCCCAATCCTGTCGTTGCCTGATGGGTGCAAAGATTTGACGAAAGTTTACGAAAAGTGCACTCAAAACAGCCCATCATTGCCCACCTGAGGCTCCACCCCTTCCTCTTCTCTGAAAAGCTGCTTCAGGTTAATGAATGCCACCTCGTCCAACTGCTTCACCACCAGATCTGCTGCCCTGTATTCATAGAGAGGCTTCTGGCCGGCAACTACTACACACTGCATGCTGCAGTCATGGGCAGCCTCGATGGACTGGTTGCATGCGCCCACCACGATGCACCTCACAGTCGGGCGGTCCAATTTCTGAGCTGCATACGCATAGGCCTCTGGATCAGGTCGGCACCTCTCTATGTCATCTGCGGCCACCACCTCACTGATATAGGGCTCCAACCCCAGGCGCTTGATGTCCTCATGCACAAAGCTCTTTTCCACGGAACACACAGCAACGGGAACCTGTGAAGCCCACAAGGAATGGTCAGGGCAAGTTTTGTGACTGCCGCCATTTCCAACCACAATGCCAAAGCAAGTCAGCAATACCAAAGGTGAAGGCAAATGTTGACCATAAACTAGACCAAAGCTTTACATCATGCAGCCACCTCATCCTCAGCATGGGCTGTGTCATGCTTGCCCACGCTCACAAAGATGGGAAGCAAGTTGCTGAAGAGGACCAACATGGCTCATATCAAGAAGGCGGGGCCAGCTGTAGAAGGCACACATACAATCCGTCCTGCTTCCGAAGAGCATGCGCTGCCAAACTGAATGAGAATCGCTCCACACATGCCTGCGACATTCATTAAACCATTGCAAGCAGCTCAATGCAGCTGCACCCTGCTGAAACTCACTCGCGGCACAGCTCACTATGCCGTTTTGGAGACAGCACGGCGTATGCAGCCCAACGATCTGTGGAAAGCAGGCAATCTGGCAGCAGCACCATGACGGGCGCCAGCACTGACTGCAGAGCATGGCACCCCAAGCAGCAGCTGTGCCCACCTGCTGAGTTCGCAGACTCTCCAGAAAACTCCTCGTTCCCGGCATCTCGGAAGGGCGCCAGTCGCCCAGCAGCTCCCTGTAGATTTCGTCCTTCCGCTGGGCCACCCGGCGCACGTAGTTCGGCTCCCGACCCCAGCACAGCACCTCCATGATCGCCTACAAACGAATCGCCAACCCATGCGCTCTCACCCCAGCGCCCCACGCAGCAAACAGCCGACCAGAACCCGAACAATCGCGCGCAGGACACCCATGCGGCAACCCAAACAAAGATCCAGCCACCCTCGTCGCACGGCCCCTTCAAATGCGTGCTCCAAAGCCATCCAACCGCGCTTCCGCCGCGCGCCGCCCGCCCTCCCTCCCTTCAAAATTAACAGCGCGCGGCTCACCTGCTCCGCCTTCATGAGCGCAGCCCGCTTGAGCGCATGCGTCAGCGGCGGTGGCTTGCCCTCCTCCTCCGCCAGCCGCAGCCACGCCTCCGTGTGCCGCCCGGATGTGTCCTCCACCAGCACGCCCTCGTAGTCCACAATCACGCCCATCCAGTCCGTACCCATGCGCTTGTGCCGCAGCAGCGGGTTCCCCAGGGTGGGGTCGTCGGCGGCATTCTCCAGCAGGTGGACGGGCAGCGGCCTGAGCGTCATGGCCCCATCATTTGGCCCACGCTCGTGGACATCCGTTGGCAGAGGGGTCGACATGGCCTGCACGGGCGCCAGCGGCCTTCCTCGAGCGATCGCGGGCTTGAGGCACGGCACCTGGGAGGCGCGCGCGCGGCGGATCGCCCCACTGGCATCCTGCAGGCAGCATGCGTCCAGGGAGGGCCGGCATGGCGTCCCGGGCGGCGCCGCGCCCTGCCAGACGGTCAGGGGCAGCGCCGGCGGCCTGGTCAGCACGGAGGACTGGTCGCGGAGCGCCAGGGCGTGCACCATCTGAGAATGCGTCCGGAGCGCCTTCGAATTCAACCGGGGGCTGGCCGGAGGCGATTGAGGAAGCGGTGGGTGGCGCCCTGGCCTGGGGGCCGGGGACAGGCGGCAGAGGCGCGAGAGGGTTTGACCAAGGGAGGAGGTAGAGGCGTCGGGCGGGGTGGGTGAGCAGGAGTGAGCCTAGGGGGGCAGCGGCCGCCCGGTGGTCGGTTGGCCTCGGTCTTCCGTTCGTCCCAAACACCTGGTTCACTTTGCGGGGGCGAATGGGGAGGAGGGGGTATGGGGCGCGGGGGCTTGATTACATCAGCCGTGAGGCGTCAGCGCTCACACAACCCACCTGGCGCCACCTCCACCAACAGCCAGCAACCTGAAATTGCTTTCTTTCTTTTAGCCTTTTTCCAATTCTTATAAGTGCTTTTCCGGTGTTTTATTTCTCACCCAGTGTTCATGCTGGTTTTTGTTTCTCTCTTGTTCGGGTTTTTCGTTTCCTTTTTCCCTTTTAAAAGAATGTTTTTGGTGTTTTGTGTTTCTGTGTTTGCTTTTAGCCCCTGAAAGCCCTGAGCGCCCTAAACTGGTGAGGCCAAGGAACCCGGTGTTGGGGGGTGTGAGGGCGACCGGAGCAGGCCACAGCAGAGTGTCGTGGTGGAGGCGTTTGGCTCCGCCGGGGGTTGCGCTGCTCGGTACGCGCCTGCGTCCCTGTCCATTGGGAGGAGCATTGGCGTCACCTTGCCGGTGCATTGCGACGGTGTCATGACTTGGTGCGGCTGTGAGCCTGGGGCCTCCCCCTTCTTCGCGGAGAGGCTGCATGATTGCGTGTACAGGTGGGCTGGCCGCAGCTGCGCCATGTGCTGTTGAAGGGCCAAAGCGTGTGGGATGGTCGGGGTCTGAAGGCCGGCGCCGCTTTGTGTGCTCAGTGGGAAGGACGCCTTGGGGTGGGCATTCGGGATGATGTCGCTGTGCTGCTGGCTCTGCGCGACGGTGAGTTCTCAAGTCAAGTGTTTCGGCTGCCAGAGAGTTCCTGTTTGGCGTCCACAATTGTGGCTGAGCAGTGTCCGTGTGTTTGGTTCCTGATGGAGGCACGCCGGCTCGCCCTCTTAATTGTGAGACGTCCAACCCCCTCGCCATCGCTGGCGCCTGTCCTGCCATTTGCACAATGTATTTGATTTCCTTACATCGAGAACGCGTCTCCGACTGTTAGTCCAACTTCTGGGCCCATTCGCAAGAAATGCGATGCAGGGCTAGTTTCATCCATTGGACATGCCTGTTTGCGAATAGATCTGACGCTTGGCTCGACCTTATGTTGATTCACAGGTACTGTAACATCACTTCGATTCGATTCTTGTGGTGTTCAGGTTCCACAGTTGTTGGAGAATTGGAGGAACAGAAGTGTGGAAGCTGTATCTGCCGGATTGGTGATGTTTTGGGTCGGCGGTGATGTGTGTAACCTGACTGGCTGCATACTCGGCCGGCAGCTCGTGACACAGCAAATACTTGGCATGTAGGGCAGTCTCCCCACCTCTGCACTGGAAACCTTGCATTGCGAGTTTGGACGACTTTGTTCTATATTTTCAACTACCAGGGGCTCCTCCCCAACACATCCATCCTCAAAATGTGCACACCAAGTGCGGGAGAGCCCAGTCCAAATTGCTGAAACGAGGACCCGACCAATAGCCCTCAGACAACAAGTATGTCAGCACAGTGCCGTGCAAAGAGGATTCAGCAGTATGTGGATGGCATCTATTTTGTCCCGCGACTGGGTGGTTACAAGCCAGTTTACTTCAATACACTCAGGCCTTTTGGAGCAACGAGGCTGTTTCGAGCAGTGAGGCGGGCTTCTTAGCAGCTCCAACAATGTTTTTACAGAGAAGGCCAGGTCAGCAGAAATTTCCAGTGACATCTGTTCAAGCAGTCCGTTGCACCTGTCCTTATCTGGGGAACCTGCTGCAGCCCCACGTGTGGCAATTATGGCTACCCTGTTCTGCTGTCACTGCGAAATGCAATTAGCTCCCTGTAGTCACCTCTGTTGAATAATCTTAATGTAATTCGACTTCTACTTTTCTGCTTCGGCCATGAATATTACACCATTCCTGAAGCAATGTTTTCTGGCTAGGTACTTTGTTTGTATGGATGTTTTCCTGGTGGGCCAGTTTATTTACTTTCAACCAAATCGCGGGGTGGCTGGCAGACACCGCGGGCCAGACATGTTGCCAAAAACACAGGTTTGCTTCTGCTTCATGTTGTGTCAATGGCGGCTGTCAGACTTGCACCTGCTGGTCTTGGAGGCCTCCTTCTGCCTCCCGCTGCGCACTCTTTGTTGTTTGTGGACATTCCCAACATAGTGTCCATGCTGTGTTTGTTTCGGCTGCTCTCTTGGCTTGAATACCTGTTCACAGATAGTCAGCAAAAATGGCTGCAACGCACGGTTTTTGCTCTTGTTTAAAGGAAAAAAACACATCGTTGACCATAGATTTGGACACTGTGCTGTTTCTTGGCTGCTGTTGCTGCTGCCATCGTTCTTCTGCATTGGACGCTATCTGTGCTTTTCATGCTTTTGTGGCTCTTACGCAGGAGGGAAGTGAAGCTTCTGGCCATGCAGCAAATAAAAGCAGGCTGGGAGCTGCCAGGAACAAGCTAGGGTGAGTGACAGATCGCAATGAATGCTGCGTACAGGAATGTGAAATTCGTTAGCTGCAAGATATGATGGCCCTGCCGGTCTTTGCCTGTTGAGCTGGTGCTCCCATCTTGATTGTGATAGAAAGTGGCATCTTCCAGCTCATTTTGGCCCTGCATTTCCTGTCCCAGGTCCTACAGAGCAGCTCTTGCTGCCGCTATCTTTGGAGGGTTGTTGGTTCTTTCTGTGCACTGGTGGTGGACAGCACACGCTGTTGTGAAAACGCCAGCCGCTGTTCAGAAACACGATGAATGTGCGGAGGACCCAGCCACCGAGTAGGTATTTTGACGCAGACAAGTCTCCCAGCCTCTATTCCTTTCACATGTGTCCCCTGGCTCCCAGCATCTCAAGAAGAGATTCTCAACTCCAGCAAAGTAAAAGGTTTGCCTTTAGAGTGCTTCTGCATTGCTTCAGCCAGTGGCAAAACTGTTGCTAATTATTACTGCTACACTCGAGTGCTTAGGTGCAGGTGCTTGTGTTTGGTGTGCATACGGGCATCGACCTAAGACAGGGAAGAAAATGGGAGACCTGTGATCCTCTCTGTTATTGCAGGTTATTCATGCCAGCTATCTGTCCGTTTATCATTGATATAGTATTACTGATAGAAAGTAAAGGGGTCTGACTTGCACACTGCTGCATGTTATTGCATGTGCCTTGTAGCGGCAGCTTTTTTTGCTCAGTAATTTCTGCATCTGTAGCAAGACAAGGATAGATGGCAATGTAAAAATGCATGCAAATGTACAATGCATACTGATTGTGCACACTCATAGGCACTTTGCGTGAGGTGCAAACTGCGGCCTAAAAGGAAAGGAACCTGGTATGAGTGTTCACTGTTGCGATCTCCTGATGGATGCTGTGGGCCACCATCGCTATAAATGGTTCCGTGCAATGCTCTGGCACATTCCAGGGAATGGACTCAAATGAAGGCATAAATGCATGTTGATGGAGTTAGCCTACGTCTGAAGTGCATCCTGAAATGAACTCATGCTGGGCCACAACTGGTGTGCTCAGCGCCGCGTCAAGATGCATGCTGTCAGACCACAATCTATTGTCTATTTCAGGGATGAAATGCGGTGGGACCAGGGCTGCAATGGATAGTGACACTCTCAGTGCTCTGAATGGTGTTAGAGATCTTCTGTTTGTGCAGGCACATCGGGGCAATTTTTGGCAGTGTATCAGCCATGATGTATGTATCTTCGCGGATACCCCAAATCTACAAGAACTGGCGGCGGAAAAATACTGAAGGGTGAGTTCATGATTGTGCAAAATGTGTGATAAACGGCACATTGTGCTGATGTTGTCTTGCTGCATACCCGTTTTGGTGCAGCTGCAGGCCGCCACATTTTTCTTGGATGAATAAAGCAAAACAGAATCCTGAACGTTTGCTGAGGGGATGCTCAAGTCATTATGTGGCATGTTTCCTACTATCCTGGAAAACCGCCGGCCAGTTGCTATTCTCTTTGTCACTTGAATGCTGCTCACATTTCAGGTGTGACTGCTGCAAATTTGTGAGGTCGTGGGCGATTGAAACTGCATCTTGACACTTTAGTACTTGGAAGAATTGGCAAATCTTCTTTCACCTTGCACAGATCTGTATGTTCTTCTGGACTCAGCCATTGAAGTAGTATGTTGTGTTGCGCAGATTGGCTGTCCGAACGTTCATGATGGCGCTGAGTGGCAACGGCCTCTACACTCTCAGTGTCTTGGCCCGTGCCCGGGAGATGCATGATATTCTGAAAGCAGTATGCCCCAATGCACCACAGCTATTTTTGGCCTCTTCCATGTCGAGCCTGCCTTGAGAACATCTGCTTGTGGCATCTGTCGAACTGTGTTTGTTGGTGCCGTATCTTACAACTCGATGATGTTGACTGCACTGGTTTGATGCAACCACAGACAATGTTAGTAACTGTTGTTTCACATTGCAGCCCACTGGACACACCAATTTGTTGTCTGCCCATAGGCGCCATGGCTGGTTGGAAGCGCTGGAACGATGAGCCAAGACGCAGTCATCATTTATCAGGTGTTGTGTGGCCGCCTTGCCCTGACACAAAAGAATATCATGCTTCCCTATGATAGTCAGGCTTTCACTGTGTGGGACAGGATCTCCTTGTTCAACAACTGTCAGTTGTACTTTTGCACCATGTCATCTTCCATCTGAACATTTGCCTCTCAACCCTCATTCTCACTTCGTGAACAAAATCACTGGAAAACCAATGCCTTCCAGATGACCAGAGACGCGAGTGTGTGGAGCTTGGCGACTGGACACACTCTCCAAACATTACTGGGGATGATGAAAGATGAAGCTCTTGGGCCCATGAAGTTCCACCAGAATGGGCGCTTATGTTGGCGGCCATGTTGTGACTTACAACTTGTGAACCCCTACAGTTGAGATAGGCAAGGAAAGTAGGGGGTTGATCATCCACATTGCCGGCGACTGGTGCACTGCTGCATCATTTCGCGAGCGATATCAAACGCTCTTGAAGTTGAATCTGCTGTCTTCCACAATCGCAACATTTGCTACGATAGCAACAAGTTTGCCGACCCTCGTTTTGTGCGTTCCAGACTCTGAGATACAGGCATGTGAAGCACAATAAGAGTGATGCAGACATCCCGCTGCTGGGCGGGAACCCCATTATCTGAATGGGACGAGACGACATGATCAGAGTGTGATGGAGGTGCCAGTGTTCTTTGGGGTGTGCGCCATGGCCCACAGTGAAATGTGTACCAGGGTGCTCGACGCGTTGGCCCATTGCACCTTTCACAGTAGACGCTGATTGATACAGATAGGAAAAACCTGCCCTCTTGCTATTTGGCAACATTGGGGGGTGGCATATGGCCAACATCTTCACTGGTGGGAAGAGGCAACAAACGTTTTCGAGTGGCAAAGCTGTGTAAATTTGGATTCGAAAGTGAACCCTGCAGTGGCGATCGAGAGTGCTCCACACAGCCCGCATCACCCATGCTGTGGGTCAAAGTGCCTTGGTGTTGCACCGCAGGCAATCCATGGCACAAGCCACTGGTTCGCCTCGCCTTCCAGAGCCAGTGCGCCAGAGAGCTGTCTGCGTCATCGTGGTAATGCTGCCATCTTACTTTATCCTCGAAACACACCACGCCATCGACTCTCAAGCACCCAGATAAACGGCCAGCCCTCGTGCTTTGCACGTAAGAATCTATGTCGCAGGCCAACTTGCCGTCACTCAGACGAAGGCTCAGTGTTGTCACATGGACAATTCCAACGTCTGCCATGCTGTGGCCCATCCTTGTGTATCCCATCCACCTGAAGCACGCCCCCATCTGGGGCCGTCGACCATGTGGCTCCCCGTTCTCTGCTCAAACATCGCCCAATGGATTGGCGTGGTCGTTGAGTTTCTGACCAGGGAGACGTGGGTGGGAGACGAGAACACGTCAGCAGCCAGGACGGGGACTGCATTGGGGTGGCCGCCCCAATCGCTGCCAGGCCCTTAAGGCCCATGGATTGCGAGTGAACGCGGGCGGACCAATTTGTATTCAGGCATGGTTTGGAAGGGAGCCACGCCTTGGCGTTAGCGCAGGAAGACTGGGCGCGCTTTTTGAGGGTGGCGGGTGCCGCCTGTTTATGGGCCGCGCCCACGGACCGTCTCCATGCTGTTTTGAGCTCCCACGGTGGGAGTCCCACCCCGCCCGTCCCTAGGAGTACGAGCTCCATTGGAAGGTGGAGTTTGTGAAGCGCAAAGTACTGGGGGAAGTGCCGTGGTTTGATTCGCTGAGCAAGGGCAAATTCTGGTGTGACTGTCACTGGGCTTTGGGTGATGGACAGCTATAGGAATAAATTTGTAACGCACTTGGCCAGTGCGGACTCGTGTGTGAAGAGTATGCCATTAGGCTTAAATCACAAATGCTTATGGCAAACCCACACCGTACAAGAATGGTTGGCAAGTACTGGCGATCATGGCACTTTGCTCAGGTTTGCTACCAGTCCGCTCACCAATTCTCCCTTGATCCCAACCTTTAAGAGGGATTTGCTGCAAAGAATGTCACGAATTTCTGCAGCCTTTTTGTGTAAATGCTGTGCCAGGAGGAGCTGTTTCATTTGACACGACTGGCAATCTTTCAACCGCGCAACACTCACAAAGACTGCAATGCTGCAAAACTCAACGTGCTACCACCCACAGCCTACAGAGTTCCAAGTTCTACAACTCCCTGCCGTGCAAAAATTGTCTTGGCACCCTCGGGCGAGATGAGCCAAAGTCGGGGGGTGATGTGAGACCAGCCCTTGGGCGACGTCTATTACATATGCTTCCGGCTCCCGATCTTGCCGAGTGCGATGTTTGTTTTTGACATTCGGCCAGGGCTTGGGATGATTGATAAACTGCCAAAACTATACAGAGTAAGGGAACATACACGCAGTCCCTGCGGCGGCACGTTCCAGAAAGTCGCAGCCCCAAACTCCGTTTCCTTCCTCTCCCCCTGCACGCGCCTCGCCAGCCCGAACGCGACGGATCATTTCCACCTGACCGGTCTCCTGAACCCACCCGGTCATGTTCCCCACACGACAACACATTACAACAAAGGTGTCCATCACCAACAACTCCACATACCCGAGGTCCCCGTACTTAACAGTTTGCCCTTTTGCTTCGCCCTTACTTTACTTCACGTTTCTCCCGTGACAGCAACCCTGAGTCACCCCTTCCCCGTTCTGTCATCCACTCCTTCCCGTTGTCTCCCTCAACTCAACCGAACTCCACTCTCTAGGGCGGGAGGGCTGGGTGCGAAACAAGATAGGAGGGTGACCGAGGGGAGAGCCTAAATAGCCGCCCCCGCTCAGCCCCGCCAAAGCCCGCCAAGTCCAAGCCGCCAAAACGGGCGGACCCTTGGACACTCCGTACTTTGACTGACCCAAGGTACTAGAAGGGCCAGAAACCCGTTTGAATACGATTGCGCCTGATTCGAAACTCGGCGCAACCCACCCAACGTCGTCCTGGGTGGAAATCTATTAACAGGATAGTTAATGTCATTTCTTGTGCACAACGCCGTCAGGGGGCCAGTCCCCAAAATTCTCGACGCAATCACCAGAGGATGGGACCAACGCAAGTTTGTGCTGGGTCGTTCTCGGGCGGTGCTGAGCCTGCTGGCAACCGCGACCAAGCGCGCCGAGGCCCGTCCCCGTGAAGCCCGTGGTGATGCCATCTGTCCGCTCCGGCGGCGGACCAATGGGATCCGCCACGGGCCATGAGTCATCCCCGCGCAGGTTGACCACCCCCTTGGGCAGTGCCATTGGACCCACGCAGCGCAGCGGGCCTGGCAGCCGGGGTGGGCCCTGCGGAGCCGAAGGGAAAGGAAAGGGGGGCCGCTTGGCCTCAAAAGGAAGCGCCCGCCCCGGCAGCCGCTATGTATGGAAAGAGGCCCGCGGCGCATTCCCCCGGCACGCTGCTCAAACCGGATGTCGGCGACGCTGGCGAAGTGGCCACCGCGGACTCGGAGAAACAGGCCAAGTCCGTGACCAAGCTCCAGAAGGAGGCCGAGCTGGAGGACTTGAACGTGAGGATTGGTCGAGTGGGCGGGCGCTTGGGGACCGTGGGCGCTGTTCGCGTGCACCTCGGATTCGTTCGAGGGAGCGGGCTGACTGGTGTGAGGGGTGGATTGATTGTTTGCGCGTCGCCGAGTGGCGGATTCTCGCGCTTGCCTCTGCGGCTCCGCGCCCGGCCGTCTGGCGGAGAGTTCCTTTGGCGTGCGGGATGCGGGGCGGGCTCGCGCGTGGCGCGGAAGTAGCTGTGCGACGCCCATGCGTGTCTGACCAGCAGCGGAGCCTGCACGGGCGGATACCCTCCTTGCGCGATTGGCGCCAGCGGCGCGGACAAGCCGGGACTCGGAGAGCGGCGAGACGGAAGCTGGCCGCCAAACTCCGTCCATTCACGGTCCCTGCTCGCTGTTCGTCGCGGGCTTTGTAGCCGCGCGATCGCGCCGGAGTCTTGAAAATCCTTCGCAGCGGCGTGTCCGAATCCTCCGCCCGCCTCGGCGGGCTCGGGCGAATCATTCTCTTCATCGGGAGGCCGCGGCGACCGCGCCACCGCCCTCCGCCCTCCCCGGCCTGCCATCCTCGATCCTGTCCTTCCCGCAACGACTCCCGGGGCACTCCCCTCGACAGCCTGGCGCCCACCCCACCTCATCGAATCTCTCGCTGCTTTCGCCCCGTCTACTGTCGCCCAGGCGCTCCGCAGCCTCCCCACTATCTCCCCTCTTTGTTTTACTTCGCGCGCGCTTCTGTCCTGATTCATTGTCGCAACCTCTGGTGGACGACGGTCCACGCCCCCTCCCACAGCCGACAGGCACCCGCCCCACCTCATGGAACCTCTCGCCCCTGTTGGCACCGCCGACTGCACACCAGGTGCTCCACAGCCCCCCCCCCCCAATCACCTCTCCCCTTTGCTCTGCTTCGCGATCTGTGTTTGTGATTCCTCGACTCTAACCCCCAGGTGGACGACGCCTGGCTATCAGCCCCGCCCCCCGACGCGTACGACATGCCGCTGGCCGGCGTCCGCGCCAACAAGACCAAGCCGCACCACCGGCGCACGGCCAGCCGCGTCCTGGACGACCTGCCGATCATGAATCCCCTGTTCGAAACGGCGGAGGAGGGCGATCGGGGGGTCAGCTGCCCGCGGCTGGGCGCCATCAACTGGTTCGAGGAGGGCGGCGTGGACGTCGGCGAGGCGGACTACTGGGAGGAGATCGTCGATGAAGGGCCCAAAGGGGGGATGCGGGGGCCGGCATTCGGAGGGGGGGTTGAAAAAGCTAAGAGGGTCGGGGGGATCCAAGGTGGCGGTTGGGGGAAGAGAGGCGTGTCGGGTGGCGGCGGGCACCATGGGAGGGGCAGGGACGGACGCGGAGGGATCTTTCCGGTGAACGGTGTGGTGGAGAGGGGCCAGAGGGCGGCTCCCGCGGCGATGCGGGAGCGGCGGTCGAAGGTGCGCGCTGCTCGCCGTTTTGTTCAGAAGTTGACGACTTTTGGGATGCTCCATTGGGATGCGTGGCTCGGGGCCACGGAGCCCAGTCGCGCGGGGCGCCCCGCCGTTTTGGGCGTGCGCCGGACCCTCCGCCGCTGTGTGGCGCTGTGGGCGCACCGATCGGAAAGGGACTGGACGGCGGAATGCGAAGGCTTGCAGACAAGGGCTTTTGGGAACATTGCGAAGCGCGAAGAATGCTCGCAGCTGGCGATTGGCGCACAATGGCACAGCGGGCTTCAGGCACGCGCATTTTCGTCTTCAGGCCGCACACAACTTTCTGTGGTCGGACCTTGCGCGAGCAATCGTCGCACCTTTTCCTTGGAGTTGTACATTCGGATGTTTGTGCCGCCCGACCTTGTTGACGTCTCCGCAGGCAGCGCCGTCGTTCCCCTGGCGCATGTTCTTCTACCTGGCCGCCCTCCTGGCGTGCAGCGTGGCTGTGGAGGTCGTAACGGACCGTGGGCACAGGGCCATGGCGTGTGGCGCCTGCGTGGCTGACACGCGCGACCTGGCGCGGCGCCTGGAGCAGTCCCGGGTGGAGATGCTCGACCGCGTGGGGTCCATGGGGATGCTGCTGTCCAACCAGGCCCTCGAGAACCATCGTCTGAAGGAGGAGCTGGTTGAGGCGCAGCGGTTCACGAAGTACGTGCAGCAGGGGGGGAGGATCAACGTCGAGAGAGAGGAGCAGGTGTGTGGAATCGGCCATGAACGCCACATGAATGGAAGGGAATGCCTGCTTTGCGGTTTGTGCATCGTTGCTGCCAGGATTCGGCAGGGCTCCGTCCGAGCACGTGGTTGTTGAGTGCTGGACAGGCTCGATTGTTTGCCATCCAACGAATGCGATGCCCTGTGGCATGTGTCGCCCGTCATTGGGCCGTTGGCTGAAACAAATGGAACAATCACCAAGCGTGAAGAGCCACGGGCAGAATGTTACTTAAGGCCAATGCAGCAGCAGCATTGTGTTTGACCATGGATAACTGCACATGGCCAGAACGATTGGACTCATGGAACCCCTGATCATCGAATGTATATGTCAAGCTGCTGGTCTGTGAGGGCATCTTCACAGTCCTTGTGCCTGCTGCAACACAGGCAAATGCTACATGGGGTGACAAGAGTCACTGCTGAGTTGTGACTTTGCCCTGGAAGTAGTCATTTGCACATTTGTCAGTGGGACACGCCGCCATGCATGCCGCAGTGTGGAGCCAGGGATTGTGAGTTTTGAATGTACCTAAATGTCCCCTTTGTCTGCTCGTTAGGGCACAGAATGTGCAGTAGAGGAAGACGCTGGCAGCCTTTCTCCAAGCCCTTTGGAGAAGTTTGAGGCTGATGTGCACAGAGCTGTTTGGAGATTTCGGTACCACGTGGCCAGGTTGGTAGGGTTCTTCAGGAAGCGGCTTCCAGTGGGCACTGTCATGTACGAGAGGCTGAGATGGCTGGAGGACGTGGTGGTAGGGCCTATTGAATAAAGAACTCGCTGGTTTTATTGCAGCTAGCTAAAATGTGGGATTTGGGGGTGCACATGGTTGGGGGCCTTCCAATCAACGGTCCAAGATGGAAAAGAGCTGGAGCAACCAGCGCAGTGATGTTGTCTGGACAGGACTGCATGCCAGGGCCGCAAGATGCCTTCCGTTCTCTGTGGGCAGTGCTGCTGGCACAGTGAGCAGCATCACTGGAATGAGTGCGTTTGAATGGTGTTTGCATATGTGCATCTCAGCTGGCAGCATGTCTATTCGATGTCAGAATATTTGGATTGTTTGTGTGCCTGGGGCGGTGGCGCAGATGCAAAGGCGCAGAGTTTTGCTGTGCACATGGAAGCTTGTGAGGTTCAGGGAGGTGCTGCGATGTGGCAGTCTGGTCTCGAACCTGACAGGATGCAGGGATAGTGCTGGTGGGCAATCTCCACCAGATGGGGCACAGCATTGGAACGCAATATGAGGCTGTCTTTGCCAATAAGATATCTGTGTTGGTCATGGTGCAAGGCGGATGGCGCGTTGTGGAACAAATGAGACGATGGAACAATCGCTTGTGCTGATTTCTCCATCCTTTCGTTTGGCCAGAAAAGGCTGTACGGTTTTGGTTGCATTTGGGTTGCAGATGACTTGGGCTGACTGAGCGGGTTTGCACAGGAATCACTCCGAGTTCAGGTTTCTATGCTGTGCTTCAATAGAGGGCCACGTCGGTCCGCTGGGCTCTCAAACTGGAGATTTTGCTTGGGTCACTCGAGATAGATTCGGATCTGCTCATGTGTGATTCGGGTGGCTCTGCTTCTGTGTGGGGGTGGTGTGATTTATTGGCCTCTTTAAACACATCATTTGCTGGCATTTGCCAGCATCGAACTGCGTCCCTTTGCCTCTAGGGGCTGACAGACCAACTGGAAGCAGGGCTTGCAGCGATTTTAGCTGCCAATGACCAATGAGTGTCAAGCAGCGGAAGTGAGCTGGATGCCACAGATCTGGGAGCGCTGTTGAGCAACCTGACAGTCAGGTTCCTGCCCAATCGCAAGCAGCCTGGGACATTGGCTTGCAGTTCCCTAGCAGGCTTTCAGGACTGCACAAGCTGCACAGCGAACCGGCAATGGTGCAGTTTGCCCGCCACCATGCCTTGTCGTCTCTGGCTTTGAAGTGGTGGTGCATGTCAGTGACGTGCACTTCCTGAGAGACATGGCGCTGGGGCCAACAGCCTTTGCTCCGATATGGCTGCCATGCTCAGTCCAGTAGTACTGCACCAGAACTCGACCAAAGGATCCCCAGCCCAATTTTTGATCCGCCTCATGCGATTCATGCATGCATCTTATTTTCGCCGGATGTAGAATAGATGTTGCTCGAAATGCAAAGAAAGTACAAAACTCCATCACCAGGCCCGGGCCCACATGCCAGCAGTGAAGGCTTGGCCGGCTGGCGGAGCTGCTCCACAATGCACGAAGCCCGCCAGCAGGAACGTGCGCCAAAATTGCTACTCCATCTCATCGAAGCAAATGTTGTTGCCAAAGCGAAATTTGGCCAAGCCCCAGCACAGGCACATGGATATCAAACGTGCGGCCGGGTTTGCATTTGGGTGCCCTGTCCGCAAAGATGTATCTGCACCGTCTCGCCCCTTTCTTCGCCGACTGGATACCATTGACTTGCGCGGCGTTCACTTCAAGGACCACCCTTTAGCTTGCGTGGGGAGCCACGCGTGCCACGATCTGAACATATGTGAATGATTGTTGCCCGGGTGCGCACCGTCGTTGCAGCCATTGCAATGTGCGTCTGGGTCTTATTGTCTCAGACAGCATTCCATCGCGCGAGCAACGCTGACTGGACGAAGAAATCCTTACAGTACAGCCGCCAGTGCCAGAAATTCGGCTGGGTTGCACGTTTCACTGACACCTGACTAGCGGCTAAGCAGGTGTCAGGTGCACATCTTCTGGCTCGCACCATGTGAATTTTCAAGCTGTTGCCATATGTGAGCTGCCTTGCAAAAGCTGCATCCGTTGTATGGTCAGATATTGGTATCCTCGCATTCGGAATTTCGAGAATCCTATTTTTTAATCTGTGTGCTCAATGCACGAAACTTGCATCAAACATATTCCACAGGTGCTGGTGCACCCCTCCGCCACAAAGACCGCCTGGCGTTTCTACCGGCATTCACGCAATGAAAACGTGCGCATGTGGATTCCAAATACCATGCCCCATCGGCAGCACATGCATGCCCAAAATTAGTCGATTTATGAGGGCAGCCACACAACAGGAGTATTTACTGACAATAATTGAAATGCTGAGCTAATACTTTGAAATTGCTTCTTTTCTTAGAAACGCGCAACCTATCCATTGGCGGAGACACGGGTCACCGCTAAAATTCTTTAAAGGCTTTTGCAACAAATCGAAAAGCGACTTCTTGGAGCGCCTTTACTATTCTTTTGTCGTCGAGGCTTTTGGACTGCGAGGAGGGTTGGACCGTGAGCTGTCTTGGCGGCACTCTAGACCATGTGCCTCAGAGACTGACCCACGGCATGAGCACTCTCGCCAGAGCCACCGTCCCACTCATCATATCGGCCTCTTGCATCGAGCAGCACGCGACCTAAAATCCGCAGAGTTAATGGATGAGCGTAAAAATAATGCAGAATCGGGGGCGGACAGCAACCACACAGATATAGCTTTTATATCCTGAGACCACCAAAGGTGTGGCGAGAGTACTGACGCACCTGGACACAGCTTTGGAGGTCTCCCCATTTTTTAATATAGCCGTATGGACATTGCACAGAACGACACAGGGGGGAGGGAGAGGCTGCAGAAACCATCGGTGCATCGAAAGGGAATTCCCAGAGGAGAGCTGCCTGCAATTGAGGTTAGCGTTCACTCAGCAGACGTTGACTACTTCCTCTTGCTTCGATCTTCTGAGACAAATGATGGACACCTCACAAACAAGTTCTCCGCCCCCCAGGGCAAGTACCGGTCTCCAAAACATGATCAGCAAGGTGCGTGGTATGATCCAAGCACGCACGTTGCGTCATTCATGTAGCGCGCATGACGCGGTTTAATCAAGACGCCGGGGCCATGTGCTTGGGTCACTCATAAAAATTGCTGCAGCTCCCCGTCCGCTCGCTGCAGTTTCATCACCATTATTATTTTTTACAGAACAAGGCAATGAGGTAGCCGTCAGCTTCCTATTTTGCCTGAGCAAAGCAGAGTCGGTGATGCGTTCGCTGATATCTAATGTGAAACGCAAACTAAGTCTATGATTCTATGAACTCCCGATGCCTAGCAGTTTCATTGGAACACAGCTGGATTTGCTCCTTGTTTGAGCACCTCAATGGCTTGCCATTCTATCTTACACGGCCCCGTTAATCAACGCGCTCAGTGCCCTCTTAATTCCTGTTTGTTTAGTCCGAAACTGGCGGCGCTGCCGCCAGAATTCCATGGCCATTCATGGCCATGTCCTGGCCGAATGGGCCAGAGTCAAGGGGTGCGCAGGATTCATTCACTAGCACAAAAAGGACGAAACAACACTTTTGCAAACGCACAGAAAACACATTTCATCAAAGTTCTGCACGCTAAGAACACAAAAATAACCCAAGCCCGTAAACTTTGTGCACGTTTGAACACGTGTTATTTGGCCCTTCTTCTCCTAGTGATTGAGCGTACAGAGCACTTGAGCATAATTCTCAGTAAGGGAGCACAATGCATCGCCTTTGGCAAGTTTAATGTCAAATTGACGTTCAGGGCAGGGTCCACCACCACTACTGCCTCCTTGGCCCATTTTTTGACCCTGCTATTCTCAATGTCTGTGCCGCTTGGTTTGGAAGCAATCTCTGATGATGGACACGATGTGATGACACGTATTGTATCCGCTCTTTTTCGGTCTCGGGGCTTCCGCTAGATCTCCCTAAAGATGGAATAAAATTGGGATCATATCTCGTCATTCTTCCTTATTACGTAATCTTACCCCGCTGCCCACCCACGGAGTTTCACTTTACGCTCACTGTAACAAAATCTATGCGTGATTGCAAAGAGGTTCGTTGCCCAAGGGGAAGTCACGCTGCGAGCAAAATTTCCTAAACTACTGCACGGGTGCTTCCTTTTAGCCTTCTCATAGGGCCACCAAATATGTCGACTATGTTGCTTCATTATGATGATGAATTATAATCGGAAGTTATGAAAATTGAATGCCCTCGTAAATCGATGCGATGATGTTGATTTCAATGCCTTAGGAAAGAAATGCCAGCTAAGAAAACTCGACATCAGCTTAAAAAGGGCACAGCTCGTTCATTGAGTTGCTAATCCGCTATGCGCTGCGCTCGATAATTGCGACCGGAGGATTCTGTTCCTTTTTGCTTTTGGATTGCGGCTGGCTTTGCAATTTCAGTTATTCTACCTTTGCCCCATTCAAAGGTTCCGCCTGGTGTGTAGAGGGAATTCGTGCTCTCATCCTCAATACGCGCTTCAGACGTTACTGGCCCGTCTGCTGGCCCACGAGATGGCTCCCGGTCAATGTGACCATTCGACGCAGCTAAGGGGTCCAAGCGCTAGCATTTATCTCTTGACGTACAAGCATGTGTCGCAAATACTATCAATCCAGCCATGATCAGGAGAAGATTCAAAGCGCCGTGGTAAATTGTGTGGTACTTTGCTCATAACGAAAGACACATGCTCGACACGATGTCGGCTCGAAACAATGACTACTACAAGCCATTTTGCGGCGTTGTGCTTTGGCCGCAAAACTCGCAGCGTCTGATAATTTGATTGTCGGCTTTCGATGTTTTGATGAGCAGTTTCAGTACAAAATCCTTCGACTTCCCGCTTTACTTTTCGTACTCCAGCTAGATACGGGATATAAACCAAAATGGCATTGCCGATAATCCACGCTCCTAACATCTTATTTAGGAGCGAAGGCGCCAAATAACACGCCTTGTAGAGTGTTTGACGCCCGTCAGTAGTACTGACGACGCACTGTTGTTAGTATCGCCTACGGACTCACTACGGTAATA